TAGAGATGCCCGGTTTGGCAACAAGGTCATTTGATGATAAGAACGTTTTACATGTCCGCTAAGGTTGAGGTTCTACTTCCTGAAGAGATACGGTATATAGAGATGACTTCCCCGTTTTACGCCCTGACAACAAGGTCATTTGATGATAAGAACGTTTTACCTTGTCCGCCAAGGTTGAGGTTCTACTTCCTGAAGAGATACGGTATATAGAGATGACTTCCCCGTTTTACGCCCTGACAACAAGGTCATTTGATGATAAGAACGTTTTACCTTGTCCGCCAAGGTTGAGGTTCTACGTTTTCCTGAAGTGATGCTGTATATAGAGATGACTTCCCCGTTTTACGCCCTGACAACAAGGTCATTTGATGAAAAAACGTTTTACCTTGTCCGCAAAGGTTGAGGTTCTACTTCCTGAAGAGATACGGTATATAGAGATGTCTTCCCCTTTTTACGCCCTGACAACAGGGTCATTTGATGATAAGAACGTTTTACCTTGTCCGCCAAGGTTGAGGTTCTACTTCCTCACGTGATACCGTATATAGAGATGATTTCCCCGGTTTACGCCCTCGCAACAAGCTCATTTGATGATAAGATCGTTTTACATGTCCGCTAAGGTTGATGTTCTACTTCCTGAAGAGATACGGTATATAGAGATGACTTTCCCGTTTTACGCCCTTACAACAACTTCATTTGATGATAAGAACGTTTTACCTTGTCCGCCAAGGTTGAGATTCTATTTCCTGAAGAGATACTGTATATAAAGTTGACTTCCAGGTTTTACTCTCTTACAACAACCTCATTAGATGATAAGAACGTTTTGCCTTGTCCGCCAAGGTCGAGCTTCTACTTCCTGAAGATATATGCTATATAGTGATGACTTCCTCTTTTACAACTTAACAACAATCATATTTCATAAGAACGTTTTGCCTTGTCCGCCAAGTTCGAGGTTCTACTTCCTGAAGACATATATTATATAGTGATGACTTCCTCTTTTACAACTATTCAACAACCATATTTCATACGAGCGTTTTATCTTGTCCGCCGCGGTTGTGGTTCTACTTCCTGAAGAGATACGGTATATAGAGATGACTTCCCCGTTTTACGCCCTTACAACAAGGTCATTTGATGATAAGAACGTTTTACCTTCTCCGCTGTTGTTCAGGTCCTACTTCCTGAAGAGATATTGTATATAGATATGACTTCCCTTTATTACACCCTGACAATAACCTCTTTTGATAAGAACGTTTTACCTTGTCCGCCATGGTTGAGGTTCTACTTCCTGAAGTGATAAGGTATATCGAGATGACTTCCCCGTTTTAAGCCCTTACAACAACCTCATTTAGAAAACTTCTAACATTTTACTATTTGCACAATAGTGTATTTTTTTCAGATTGCTCACGTTATGGACATTCCTTTGATGAGGTCTTATTAGAAACTTTTTTCACAGATTTTATCTTTATTTCGGTTAGGGGATTGACTTGGCCTATATGAAGTTCTGATATGACATTTTTCCTTAATAAAAAATGTTTTTTGTGATAAACTATGTCCTGATTGGTTTATATCTGACACAGAAATGTTATGTTAAATGCACTTAATGTATTAGTTGATCAGGCCAGTTTCAACGCTTAAGGAAGCAAACGCACACACAGACATTCTTGCTATATCAAGTAGGATCTCAATAAAGCTAGGAAGAACCCGAACAAGCACTCGGCCATTTCGCGCATGATTAACACTGACCATTTGAAGAGGCTTCTTCACTGTGTGCCGTTCGGTGAACTGATGCGAGAATCTCGTCGAGGAAGCTAAGCCGTGTTCTCGTCTTGGAGAAACCCGCGTCTCCGTTCAATCCGACTCTCTCGCTTGACCTCCTTAGTTCTTCCCTGATTTGAACCTTGTCCTCCATCAGTTCTCTCGCCTTCCTTCAACGACGCTTCGAGTCATTTTCGCTTGTTAACGATCTTGAACCGTGTTTAATGTTTTTGTGAGTGTGACCGTTCAAAAACCTTCTCGCGATACTTGACCCGAAAACTAGAATAGTGTATAATCCAAAATTCTATATAGTGAATTGGGGAATGACGGAACTAGAGAAAGGGAAATGAGTCAAGGAATAAATTAAAGAGAAAAAGAATTAGGAAAGAAATGAAATGAACAGAAAGGAAAATTAGAGAGAGTAAAATATGATAACGAGAGTAGAAAGAACTATTAGAAAAAATAGAGTAAAACGGAGAAACAAAAAACATTTATTTTAGATTAACAGAAAACTCACACACGCACATGCAAAATGCGTCCGCGGTAGGACGATAAACTACATCCAGCAGCAATTTCTCTGATCTCGGTTTTGAGGACCGTAGAACGACCTCTTAATTTTTGTAGCACTTGTTTGGGTCCCAGCTTAAAAACTAAGGTCAAAACACTATAAAAGTATAAAAATAGATCTGTATAGTAAAATTACTAGCAATTATTTGACGGCATATAATCGCACTTATTTTTAGTAAAAATATCTAATATATTAACAAACTTACATATTCAACCTAAATTCCCCTGCGTCTTATATGCCATATGTAAGTTTACTAATTTTAATAATTACAAATTTTCACCCTGTCGGCTTGGGCTGTAAAACGCGCCGACTGCACCTCTGCAGAAAGGCAAGCACTTCCACCAATAGGTACGATGATAAACTACATCTGCGTCCTGGGTAAGACGATAAACTACGTCCAGCAGCAAGACTTCTGATCAGGAGATTTTGAGAAGCGGAGAACCACCTCTTAATTGCTGGTGTTCCAAGGTTTACCCTGACCAGGTGTGGTTGCACCTGTTAGAGTCCCATCTATGGGCAAATAGTTAACCTCGAAATTGGAGTAAAAACACTATGAAAGTATAAAAATAGGTTTTAATACCAGAAATACTTTGCAAAAAATTATTAACAGCATTAAATTTTTGAAGAAAAAAAAATATTACCAGCAATACATTTTGCAAAAAAATATTACCAGCAATACATTTTTGAAAAAAATTATTACCAACAATACATTTTTGAAAAAAAAAATATTAACAACAATACGTTTTTGAAAAATAATATTACCAGCAATACATTTTTGGAAGAAAATATTACCAGCTATACATTTTTAAAGAAAAAAAAAATTTACCATCAATATTATTTTTTGAAAAAATTAACCAGCAATACATTTTTAAAGGAAAAAATTATTACCAGAAATAGATTTTGACAAAACAAAATAATTATCGGCATTAAATAACCCAGTGAGATTTTATCCCGTAAACAAACCGAACCAAATTACTAATTTTTTTCTTTATTTGCCTTGCTGAAATTGGGCTGCGTCTTATACACCCGTGCGTCTTATATGCCGTCAAATACGGTAACTCTCCACAAAAACCAACTTTGCAAAAATGTGTTGATTAAATAAAGTTTGGTCTACAAACTGATTTCTTACAAAGAATACATGTTTTATTTATACGAACCAATCCTAAATATCTTGTCAGCTTTCACTTAGAAATATCATAAAGAAATACACTACCCCAGGTAGCCTGAACAAAAAAATTAAATTAATCATCTATTACAAAAATTTAAAACAGTTAACCTTATCCTCAAAAGTAACAACACACCAGCAAAATCAAAATTACAACGAACGAATTAATTAACTGTATACTTGATCAAACCGAACTCATAAATAATTATATTGGTCACACTACTACATGCCTATCCCGACGACTTACGTTACACCTACCTGACCAAAACTCAATCAGAAATCATTTGAACATACGCACAAAGCTACCAGACACAATCCGAAGCATACTAGTAGAATATACACGCATAACAATCTCATCCATATGCAAAAAAGTTTAAAAGTAAATGGGCAAATAATTAACCCCACAAATTGGGTTCAAATCACCATGGAAGTATAAAATACATTTTTATAGTAAAATTACCAGAAATATATTTTTGTTAAAAAAAAAAAATTATTATTACCAGCAATCAGTCTGTTATGTGCCATGCGTGGTACACGTTTAGGCGATCATGTATCTTTCGATACAAGACTGACGAGGGATATTTTTCCCGCAGTAGGTTGCCATTTCTTTCTACGGTAGACCAGTTGCCATCCTGTTATTTACCCATAGCTGAGGAGAGAAGAAGAGGATTCATACCTTTCTCAAGGTTAAAAAAACTGGTAATAACATCCTTTCGAAGTGGTACTGTTGATGATTAGAATGGCATCTCAAAACATTTGAAAAATAAATATTACCAGCAATAAAAATTTCGTTGGTAATAAATAACCCATTGAGGTTGATATCCCGTAAAACAAAATAAACCAAACCAAACCAGAAAATGTAAATAAACCCAAAATACAGTCTGTCTATATTTCTGAGTTGAGGTATTATGTACATTATTTACATTATTCGAACTATTGTCCTCATCTTTGTCACCATCTTTATCACAACCACCGGAAGAAGCCCGGAGCGTACAACGGCCGAAACGTTGTGATAAATATGGCGACAAAGAAGAGGACAATAGTCCGAATTATATAAATAATATAGCTAAAACATACTTAATCACTATTTCATTGGTTGATTGATTGATTGGTTTTCTAGTGCTTATCAATCATTTGCAGGTTTTTAAAGCCAGGAAATATTTCTGGACCTTAAGAATCCATCAGAAAAGAATGGAAGAAAACTTTGGAAGCAACTGAGATGGGATTCGAACGATAAATGTTGATTTTAGTTGGTTGTTTTCGTTTAGTAGCATATCAACTTCTATCCGAAAATCTAAATAGGTTCTACGCAATTTGATTCGACTTTTGGAAATAATAATGGTGTAATGATACAAGTCTTACTCATTGACCCATAGCAGAATGGAGAAGAGGTGGATCCATGTCTTTCCCAAGAGTATTTGCGTGTAGGGGAATATAACGAACCCAACGGAATTTGGAACTCGGGATACTGATTAAAACTTCTAAGCCATTATCGATGACACTAATCGCGTATATAAGCTTACAGTACATGGAATTCCTAAACGTCACTCATCAAAGTACTGAACAGGATCGACGTTGCTTAACATCGGTGATCGTACAGGAACAGTTGTTTCCACGTGATGTGGCCGTAACCTACGTAACGAGATTGTGGTAACGGATGTCAGAACAAGGATTTATAAGCAAACGAATATTAGAGTTTCACAGAATAGAAAGATATGGAGAGCCATGATTTCCCACGTCCTGAATATAAATGGCGCATAAAATTCTACTGTTACCCGTGTTTTTGAGCAGGAATATAGGCTTATCTGTTGTTTCCTGTTTAAGGCTAGGTTTCCGGTTCCTTCTAATGTCTACTTCAACTCTATACTTCTAACGCCTAAAACTTTTATTTACTATTGAATTGTGCGTTTTTTTCTCAATAGGAATAGATAGGTTCAGCTATCTTCCGTTACACACCCGTCTCTGGTCTTTTGAACAGGAATAGAGACTTTTCTCTTGTTTCCTGTTTACGATTGTGTTTCCGGTTCCTTCTAAAGTCTACTTCAACCCTATACTTCTAACGCTTACGGATAAAACTCTGAATTTTTATTTATTATTAAATTACTTTTTATTTCTCCATCGGAGTAGATAGTTCTACCTTCCGTCTGATTCACACTTCTCCCCCACTTTTTGAAAAAGAGTAGAGGCTTATCCGTTTTTTCTACTTTAGAATTGTGTTTCGGATTACTTCTAAGTTTTTTTTTTTCCTTCTCTTTCACTTCCAGTGGGGCCTTGCGTCTTGGTGGCATTATGTCCTTGTTTGGGGTGGTGCCTCTTGCTCTATAACCTCCTATCTTGCTCATGATGAATATTATTGTAAAAAAACCAAAAAAAAAACCCCTGTGACGGTAACGACCTTGTACTTTTTTTTATAGCGGAATACATAGGTTTGATATAAAGATTCCAGTTTTTTTTTTTTTTTTTGTGGTGGGAGAGAATTCTTCTTTGGAATGATATAAAGCTTTTCCTTATATATTGTGGCATTTCTGCGATTAAACACTTAAGGTAAAAGTATTAGATGGTGCTTAAATCTTGCGTTAAATATAGCCATTGTTCCACATAGGCAAACGAATAAATAAAATGATACGGAAATATCAGCACATAAATGCCAAATGTGACGTTATCGGCGTTGTCGTTCATTTTGTCTCGCTGATGCCGATTCTTTCTCATCTCATAAAAAATGGAAAGAAAAGACAGGGGGATGACCGACACTTCATTCGAGTGACCTCTTTTAGGTTGATATATAGAAAAGGGACGAAAGCAAAAGAAATACCCCGCAAATCATTTAACCCCTGAATTTATCATTTACCAAAATGATACGCTTTTCTCGCCAATAATTTTTCTTTAAATCCAACTTTTAGATAATAATTTTAATGCCATTTTCCCCACATAGAAATTTTACATATTTTTTATTCTATTTTAACCCTTTGAAAGAAAACTCCTGGCTTTAAATAACCTGTAAAGGTTTGAGAGACCGTACGAAACGAATTACCGTATTTGACGGCATATAATGCGCACTTTTTTATTAAAAATATCTTTTAAAATTCCCCTGCGTCTTATATGCCAGATGTAGGTTTAAAATTCGTGATAGTCGGCTGAAATTAGCTACCTGGCAACTACTACTAGCTTAGACTTTAAAGTAACTTTTATATACCTATTGTCATTATTTAAAAGGCTATTATGCAGATTAAAATGTCATCATTGATAATATTCATTATCTTAATTTATCACGTTTAATATTAGTACTTTGTATCACTACAATTATATTTAATAAATTCAAATTATATATTTGTAAAAATATTTGTAAAATATATTTGTTTCATTATTATTTTTCTTTCGATAATTTCCAGTTGCAATGCTATAAATACAATCAGAATTGTTATATCCTAAGACGTTTACAAGATGCATGTTATACAGATCATATAAAGGAAAAATTTTGACTAAATTCTAATTGTAACTCTACAGTTTTATTCAGTTGCAATAACTGCTTGATTTTTATTTTGTTTTCTTACCTTTTCATATAATAAACATTTTTCGGGTCGTGTACATTTTTCGTTTAATTGTAATCATGGCTTGTTTAACCAAAATAAAACCTCATAATATAGCCAAGGATGTACTATTTACTAATAATTATACTAATTTTACTAATTACTAATTCTTTCTTGATTATCCAAGCTGAAATTGTGGTGCGTTTTATACACCCGGGCGTCTTATATGACGTCAATTACGGTAATCAAATCGAATCAAATCTTCATGTGTACAATCAAGCGTTATTACATATTCTCATAAAATGAACTTCCTTTCTTTTACCATGATGACTTACAATAACCTCATTCATTAGCTCTCTATATTGAGTGGCTCTCTTTTATAATAATGGGTAAATAAATAGTATTAACTCTTTGACCCCTGCGTTCCTCTACAATTTTAACCCTTCTGCCTGAGCTCCTGAGTCAAAATTCGCAAATAATTGGTATGTAATGTTTCACGATTGATATAAAAATAGTTACAAGTGTTTACCCAACGTTCGACGGGTAGCTGGGCATTACGTCATTTTTCTCTACCACTGTTCAACCGGTGGTCGGACATTACATTATTTTTCTCTAACACCGGTAAAGCGGTAGTCAGAAGTCAAAGGGTTAATATTGGGAACTTAGAAATGCCTTGTAGTTCGCCTATAATTGATTGAGATTTTTAGCCATATTAAATGCTAGTCCTGTGTCTGACGATAAACTACATCTGGCAGCAAGGGTGTTTGGAGGTTCTGAAGAGCGTGGAACTACCTCTTAATGGCTGTTATTCGCATGTGCACCCTGTATCGGTGTGGTATCAACAGTTAGTGCCCCAGCTATGGCAAATAGTAAATCCCCAAATAAAATAATAAAATACCATAAGAGTATAAATATACATTTTATAGTAAAAATATCAGTAATATATTTTTATATAAAAAAAATTCTCAGGCTTTTAACTCTGCATTCATGTAAAAGACTAAACTTATTTTGTGAACTGTAAGTAAAAGCAATAAACAAAATATACACAATGACTTCCTGATTGGATACACCCACCTAGTTTCTCCTCGTTCATTGGAAGAAAGGGCTATAAAAATAGTGTTTTTATTGCATTTGGACAAAACATAAACTTTAAACATTTGGTGAAATATTCTTAAATGCCGTTTCATTGTTCGCTTATTATATAAATCTTACATACGCAGATGATACTTTTTTAATGCACTTTCAAAAATCAAAATGATAGGGACCTTGCAATTGTTCTCTCTTCTGACCAAGAGCTAACAAATGAATGGAGAAAAAACTTACTTTTTATACATCGATTAAACAAAATATTAACATTTCAGTAACTTATTCCTGCTATGAATACCTATGTCATCAGCATCGCCCTCCTCGTCATATCTGCATTGGCCTCGGGAGGGAAAGCATGAACGCAGTTTCCTAGTCGTAGATTCGTTTGAGGTGTGGCAGGGAATAATTAAATAACCAGGTCTCTCGTATATCGTCAAAGCGTAGTCTATGAAGAGATTAAATATATCTACTCCTATCGAGAATAGAAAAAGTTATTCTATAGTAAAAAAAAAAAAGTTTAGAGTTTAGTTGTAGGCGTTAGTATGGAGTTGAAGTAGACAAGAAAGGAACAAGAATCCCAATCCAAAACAGGATCTAAGTGATAAGCTACTCCTGTTCATAACACCGGAGAGGATTGTGAATCGGCCGGTAGCCGAACCTATTTACTCCTATCAAGAAAAGAAAATAGTCATTCTATAGTAAGTAAAAATGTCAGAGTTTTAGACGTAAGAGTTCCAAGTATAGAGTTGAAGTAGTCATTAAAAAAAAAAAAAGGAGACTGAATCCTAAACAGGTTACAAGGGATATGCCTCTAACCCTGTTCATAAGACCGGAGAAGATAGTGAACCGGGCGATAGGCGAACTTATCTACTGCTATCGAGTAAAGAAAAAATAATTCTATAGTTAATAATGAGTTTTAGGCGTGGGCGTTAGAAGTTTAGATTTGAAGTAGACATTAGAAGGAACAGGAAATCCAATTCTAAAGTGGATCCAAAAGATAAGCCGCTATTCCTGTTCAAAACACCCCGGTAGAAGTAGACTTTTATGTGCCGTGTCCATTATTCAGTACGTGGAAATCATGGCTCTCCACATCTTCCTATGTTTTGATATATGTTTGCATACAAATCCTTGTTCTGTCATTCGTTATCTACTACTATCATTAATAATATCAGTATATATATTATACTAATATTATCAGTGAGTTAGGTAGTTTACTCACTGATTCCCAAGCTTACGGTCACATCATGTGGAAACACCGATGTTAAGCAACGTCGATCCTGCTTCTAACTCACAGTCTATGAAGAGATTAATACATCTGCTTTCTCAAAACTTCCTTGTCGAATTCCGGTTGAGGTTTGAAAAGTTTCAACATTGGGATGTTTACCAGATATTTAAAACTCTGTGTTAACAATGTTCACCATAGTCTATGAATATAGAATACAGCGCAGTACGTAATCTGTTCAATGAAACAAAGTTAAAGATTAATACTCACGAGACAGACACTCTACTGAATCCGCCTATATCGCCAATACCACCAGCAGCTGTTCAGTAGTTCTTCAGTCTTCGATATCAAAGGCTGCCAGTGAATATTCGCAAAAAAACATGGCCGCCTTTATACATCTCGCATTGAATATTTTGAGCTTTCTGATTGGTTAACCCTTCTATTGGTGAACTATAAAATGGGTCAGCTCATTTTGGCTGGCTCACTAGTACCAGAGTACCCAAAAATTCCAACAATTTGTGGGTAAATATATATCGCAAAAATGAAGATAACACCCCAAATTAATTCCTTTCAGGAATTTTGGATATTTTATAGTAGGTAATAAACAAAGAAAAGAAACGACAGATTTCTGAGTATATTATAAAATGTTTTAAAAGTATTTTAGAACCGATCTTCCTTTAAGAACTACCCCTGTATACAGGGCCGGATTTAGGCCTGAAAGGGGCCATGCGCTGATAGAATTTAGGGTCATCTTCATTACGTATGTCTGCTGCTCCTTGTCTATTGAAAGATCTAA